TTTAGCATCTTTCCTACATAAAATTATTGAATTTGACATTTGTCAAAAAAGCCAAATAACCAGCACCTTGTTTTACAGGTAATAAAATGTCTTGTCAGGTAATAAAATGTCTTGTCAGTTTCTTGAAAGTATGTCGTGGTCAGTAATGCTTTTTGCTAAAAATGTAACAAAATACAGAAAAAAAAGAGGGCTGCATCGATCCCTTGAAAAATATAGATGAGGCGGCTAGTCGGGCTACCACAGTTTTTCAAATTTCACCATTATTATCAATGTAAATAACTAAAAATACAAACTTTTTTTGACGTTCGCTCTCAAAATTTGATGTTTCATTTTTAACACTAGTGCTATAAAGACTTTATGGCACTAGTGCGATAAAGTAACATTTTTAATGCTTCGGGGGAGTGTTAAAAATTGCATTTTTAACACGTTTGTAGAAAAAAGAAATTTTGCAGTTCAAGTGTTTAGAGAAGAGAAACGTAAGTTCTATGAAGAAAAAATATGTCAAAATAAAAATAATCCCACAGAAATGTGGAAAACTTTGGAAACTTTATTACCTTCAAAAAAAACAGTGGCTAAAATTGATGAGGTAGAAATAAATAATACCTTAATTAGTGATAAAGAGGAGTTACCTAATAAACTGAATATTTTTTTTTGTTGATAGTATTAAAGATATACTTCGCGATATAGATAAGTCTGATCTTGGAGATTTTCCATTGGCTCACCATGACGATTTGGTTAATTTTTCAGATTTTAGTATGTTGGATTTTGAAGGGTTGAAAGATATTATTTTTGGAATGCCTAATAAATCAAGTCCAGGTGATATTAACATCAATTTACTCAAAAATACTTTTGAGATTATAAAGAATCCACTTTTAAATATAGTTAATTCTTCGCTAGAATTAGGTCAGGTTCCTGATATGTTAAAAGTTTCCACTATAATCCCGATCCCCAAAGTAATTAAATTAAAATCTGCCAATGAATTGCGTCCAATAAATTTGCTTTGCACTATTGACAAAATTTTGGAAAAAATGGTGTATATGCAACTTGTTGAGTATATAGATCGGAATAAAATACTAAGTGATTTTCAATCAGGATTTCGAGTAAAATTTAGTTGCGAAACTGCTGTGCAGGGTATCTTGGAAGACTGGAGGCAAAATATTGACAAAAACTTAGCAACTGGTGCCATTTTTCTTGACTTACGAAGGGCATTTGAAACTGTAAACAGGACAAGGTTAATATTAAAGCTAAAAAGCATTGGTATTAGGGGAGTAGTTTTAAAATGGTTTGTGAGCTACTTGAGTGACCGTAAACAAAGACTAAAAGTCAATGACATATTATCAGAAGATATATCTAATGATTTTGGCGTCCCTCAGGGGAGCGTGCTGGGGCCTTTGCTATTTATTATATATATTAATGACATAATTAAAAACGTAAAAAATTGTACCACATATCTTTTTGCTGACGATGCCTTATTCTATTATTCCACAAAAGATCTGGGCCAACTTGAAACATCACTTAATCAAATATTGGATGATGTGTATCAGTGGTGTAATGTTAATGATTTGAAGGTCAATATTTCTAAAACAAAGTACATGATTATTGCAAGGGAATCCATTTACAAACAGCTATTAGCTATGGACTGCAAATTATTGTTGGGCAGCGACACTATTGAAATGGTAACAAAAATTAAATACTTAGGAATTTGGATTGACCATAAACTAGATTTTAAAAGTCATGCATTAGAAATAATTAAAAAAATCGCTTTTAAAGTAAATTATTTATCTCGCTGCTCTCCATACTTGTCTACTTGGACTAAAAAAACTATATTTAATGTATTAATACTTCCACATTTCCATTATTGTTCTAGTATTTTGTTTCTCTTCAGACAAAATGAGCTCTCAAGATTGCAGAAATTGCAAAACAGAAGTATGAGGGTGATACTCAAAAAACCAAGGTTAACACCAATAAAGGATATGTTAAAAGAACTTCAATGGCTGCCAGTGCGGGAGCTTCTTCTGTTTAACACCCTAACATTCATTCATAAAATAAAAATTGGTCAAGCTCCGCAATATTTGTTAGGCAAAATTATGTATGCTTCTGAAGTGCATCAATATCATACGCGCCACAGAGAAAATTTTTATATCCCAAGGGTAGATCAGGAAAGGTCGCAAAACTCATTATATTTTAAGGGCTTGAGTAGGTACAATGATCTGCCAAATAATGTTAAGTCTATGAAAACAGTGAATTCTTTTAAAAAAGTTCTCAAAGATTATATGCTAAGTGATGTTAACTTATAAGTAAGTAGTATGTGACACTTGTATTGTATCAGTGTACGTTTTTTTTTAAATAATTTTTTATCATTGTGTTATTGACTGTAGATTTTAAATTATTACATGAAAATTGTTTTTTAATTAAATTATAAATTAGCTTTAGTAGAATTTCAATTGATAACTGTAACTGTATAACTGTAAATTAGTCTTGACTAAATAAAGGATTTATATATATATAACTCTACTTGTATGTACAACCGAGCCTTAAAAAAACCAGATACATAATTTTCGTGAAGTCCTTTGGGGTCAAGTGGAAATTTTCTTATAAATATAATTTGGGATTCTATTTAAATACAGGCGCCATCATTTTTAACTATTTGAACTAGAAAATATTTGTTAGATGTTGTTGAAATAAATAATTCAAGATAAATTCTGGGGTCAGAACAATTTTGTTATATAAGCATGTTTTCTATGATTGACTTGATATTAAACAATTACGACGGAAATGTTTGTTTATAATAATATTAATGATAATTATGTAGTCCTAAAAATATTACTTATTGATGATTGTGCATATAAATAGATATTTCCGCATGTCTGCAAAAGGCATACCTACTTAAGATTGATTTGAAAAAAAAAAACTTGCTCATTAAAAAATACTGAATACAATTGAAATGTAATACACACAGCTTAATATAAATTTCACGACTCTAGGATATCCATAGAAGCAAAAGCAAAAAGATAATTTTTTTTTTCTGAAACCCTCTATTTTAACTCTTAATTGTAAGATAGCTATTCCTCAGTACAGTACTAAAGAAAGCTTTCCTCCACTTTCGATTTACCTAATAGACTGTGAGATAGGGGCTGTTTAGTGGAGTTATTTTTTTTTGTCTGGTATTTTGAGGGCTGAATGTGGCTATTAACCTGATGAGAATATGAGTGATTTTGATGCCTGCCTCCCGTTCGAAAATTTGCAGAAGAAAAAAATTGATTTACATGAAGAATTTTTTTTAATGATCTCAAATTTTCTGGCTTCTAAATAAAAGATTAACATTGATAACTAATTCACCCATGAGAAATACCAGATGCTTTTCAATAGCTGAAAAAGTGGGGATGGGTGTCAACTTCCAAGAGAAAAGAAAAGAACCTGCCGCGTTTACTTTTTGTCTAGCAATCGAGAGAATGAAAGGTTTTATTGTGAAAATAACGCTGAAAAATCGCCAGACAGTAACCACAGTTCGAAATCGAGCAAATTCGCAAAACATGGACGTTTCGAACAGGGGGCAGGCATTAAAACCACTGATATTGTCATGAGCTAACTAGTCACATTCAGCCCTCAAAATGCCAGACAAAAAAAAAATGACTCCACTAAACAGGCCTTATCTCAGGGTCTATAGATAGTTTTCAACATAAATAATAACAGATTATAAAATTCAACTCCAAAAGGATTACTGGTAGGTAAAAGTCCACTAATAGCTCACAGCAATAAAAGAATATACTTTAATAATAGAGAAGAATACAATGTATGGCATGGGAGATAAATACAGTATACAAGTGAAGATCGCACTATACGAATATGTATCACATTTTAGACTCAGAACACAATTAACCACATTATCCAATGCCAAAAACAAGGCAGCAGTTAAGTAGACCACATGATTTAATAGATTATAATAGTGACATTATGGGACTCTGTTTAGTTGAGTCATAATTAGTCACATTCAGCCCTTAAAATGCCAGACAAAAATGACTCCACTAAACAGTCCCTATCTCAGGGTTTATTGAGATAAATCAGAGATTGATCTGGTTAAACCAAGAACAAGCGCAAGAAGCCAACATGGGAGTTGAAGGCCTGAAGGGGAAAGAAATTGAGGCGGCTTAGGAGAAAAAAAGGAACAAAAAATACACAATATACGAGAGAAAATGCCTGAGACAATACATTTCCTTATAGACATAAAGTTGAATCTAATAAAGTTGTGATAAAAGCCGCTTAGTGGGTAGATAATAGGTACTTATTCAAGGATATGTAACCAGAGGGAGCTTTCAAATGTGCAATTATGCAAATAGAATAATTTCATTCAACTACACGACCAATAAAAGATATTGATTTGTCCATAGTGAACCCCAGATATTTTATAATTTAGAAGAGGTATTTATATTGCAAACAGCGAAGTAGAGTTTGCAGTTTCATCGTGCAGCGTTTGACAATTCTCGAGCGGTTCAGCAGCAGTCTTTTCATTTCGACCTCGCTATAGGCCAGTGTTGCCAATGAGCCAAATTTGTCGATTTTGCGATGAGCGCAGCTGCGATATCCGACTCATTGTCTTTTTTTGTGCGCTTGGTGACTAATAGTCCCATAAAGTGAACTCAGACTCAAGCTTATTCACAGTGCGGCGTACCTGCTGAGAGTTGGTGAGAGATGGTGAACAAACATTGAGCACCCATGCATGACTGAACTCAAAATTTGGTAATATTTTCTATTTATTTACTTTTAAACGTCCCAGGAATTGTCAAACGCTGCACGTTGAAATTGCAAACTCTGCTGGTTATTTTGACACCTGGAAATAAAAAAAAAATATCAGACACTGAAAAATTTCTATTTTGTAATTTATCATCCCCATAATCTAGAAATTCCCTAGTTCCCTATCCCTGTGTGCTTTGAATAGAATCGCTTTGATAATAATTTATTAAGCCCCGATTTTTTGAATACCTAAATAATGCAAAACTTACCATCCATCACACCAGACACGGATGTCTTTATGCTGCTTGGTATCCCATGCAGATCCATTTCCATTGGTATGTCCATTGGTTTCTCCGTTTTCGAGCATAATTCCTCTTTAACTATTTGACAGGATGCTGACAAAATTACAATTTTTGGCGTTTTGATGATGGTCTGGTCGCTATGGGAATCTAACAATAAAAAAACCTTTGTTAATAAAATATGAAAGCTGGTGGCATGCAAGTGCAACTACTAAAAGATGGCAGAAGTGACTTTTCTTTCTGCTGAACAATACAAGAAGCGGATCAAACGAATTTTTAGGTTTTAACTTTGGAGTCAAATAATACGCGAACTAAAAAAGATATCAATGTGCGTTTTGCAGAATTTAAAACATTATTTTTTTCTGAACACGCTGGTTCAGTCTATTTTTTTTGGCTCTGAAGCACCTTAGGCTGAAGACACAATGACAAATACAAGGTACAAGAGACAGATACAAAATACCAAAAAATCGAAATTTTGTATCGAGTCATGGCAAGTAAATTGTATCCTGTATCCATTTATTCTGGGTTATAGCATTGATACACGTGTTATTATATTTTTGTGTCTTGTATTTGTGATTATGTCTTCAGTCTTACTGATGACACGGTATAAAAGAAAAGAGTGTTTTTGTAACCATTGCTTTGTCGGACAAATGAGCTATTAACTCATCTTTAGTTTTGGTATCAGATAACAATGACTTCACAGAAGTGTTTCTAATGTACGTGGGTTTCATGGTAACATGATACATTTATTTGCAAGATGACATGTTTTATGTTTTAACCATGGATTATTTTTTCAGGACTTGTACTTCTGCCATAATATCGAGAACTACAATCTACCAAAAAAAAAAAAAAACTTGAAGTGAGACACATCTGACTTGCTAGGGGCTGCAAGGTATCAGTTGTATCTCCTCCTTCAGTGGCACAAATAAATATGAATAATTGACACTTTTTAAATGGACTTCCCCAAATCATTTAAAATATAAGAGTAGCTGAAGTACAATAAAATTACAAGTCTAATAAAGCCTCATTAGGATGTAGCCAAAATTTTCTTTGTTATTATAGCTCGTATGTAATGAGATTAAGATTAGTGTATTTCTTTGAAAAACGATCAATAATAATTATAGATCAACAGAGCGGATCCAGATAGGGCAGGTTGAAGGTCACAGGTCACAGAACTTGAAAAAGTATTAAGAAGCATGGGATAAAAACAAAAACGCAATAGCGATCTGCCTAGAACTTTTCTGTTGAAAGCTTGAGAGGAAAGGTATTTACAACATTGCTCAAATTTTTATAAAAACACATTTATCAGGTATGCGGCAACAGGTGATTAGGTACACAGAAACAGATTACACACGTTGGAAATGGTATTATTTGGAGTAAACAGTTCTATCTATAAATTCGTAAAGTATGCGGGTATGTGGCAATCATTCTCTTTCCGTTTAAAGCTTGGCAACTCTAAAAAAAGTAGGAAAAATCGTTTCATTTTCAATAAAACACGTTACTTCTCTATAAAGATTGAATTTCTCTTATAGTCTTACCAGTTCCAGCAAGTTCTCCATATTATGTATAATACCCTCGATAATACCTATAATGTGGCATTTGGGAGACATATTACTAATTATACATATACTCCAAAAATAGTTTTATTTTTAACCATATATGAAATGTTGTCATTACTGACTTTTAAAAAATTTGAAAATGTCACATTTCTGTCTTTTCATTTTCCTGCTCCATTACCTGTCCCAGGACGGGAAATGAGGACGGGAAATTTTTTCCGTCCTCATTTCCCGTCCACGGACGGAAAATGGAGCAGGGAAATATTTCCTGTCCTCATTTCCCTCCTCATTGTCCGACCTCATTTGGTTGCCCCGAATTTTTTTTTTCAAGAAATTATGGTTAAAAATAAAATAGTAGACAACCCTCGACGGGAAACTTCATCGCTGTCTCGAGGTTCAGTTTATCTCGACGCTACGCGTCTCGATAAACTATATAACCTCTCGACCAGCAATGAAGCATTTCCCGTCTCGGATTGTAATATACTATTTTCTGCGATTGACAAGAAATGTCAGCATTTTTGACCGGTTGACAGGTCGCAAAACTCAATATTCTGGTATTTTAATTATGTTTCAATAGTTAAGGAATTAGTGAATAACAATACGGGAAACACTTTTCCGGCCTATGCCGGGAAAGTGATTCTAGTACTGCTGAATAATTGGAACCAAAAGACAAACATTTAACAGGTATTTAACCGAGCGCAGAAAAAATAGTATGTGTATTTCGGTGGAAAAGCACATTCTCGGCCTTCGGTGTTTGCCGGCCTCGGCTACGCCTCGTCCGTCAACTTACACTGTCGAATGTGTCACTTTTCCACCTAAATACACAATATACTATTTTTTTAGATAGATATTTCCATTAATTATTGTTCATAAATTTTGATTTGGTTATGTTAAGTCCAGCGCGCGGTCCAGCACTTCTAGTAAATCTGTTATAGTTTGATTAAATCATGACAAGTCCACTTCATCAAATTTCTGTTTAATATAATTTTGTTAATACGATATATATTAAGGACTTACGTGTTCCAAAACAAAGCGAAGGTGAAATAATTTAATACATTTCAGATAAGTGAATTTATCATGTTTGTTATGTGCCACGTATAATATGAGTGACAGTCATGGAAATTTTGATTTATTTATAGTCTCAACACCGATTTAAAAAAACATTGGGTCAAAGTTAATTAGTTAGGATATAATTTTTAATTTTTATATTTCTGATAAGTACAATGTATTATTGATACCTATATGCAAAATCAAAAACAAATTATGTACACAGATTTTGTTTATTACATTTAAACGAGTGGTAAGCCACTAGTGGAAATCATTGTACATTTTTTTGGGAATCACATAGTAATCATAGTAATCAATCAGCAATACATGGAAATCACTTGGGAGTCCCTGGGAATAACTTGGGAATCGCTGGGAATCTCCTAGAACTCCATGGGAATCACATAGGAATCCATTGCCAATCGCTGAGAATCATAGGGTAGTCGCTGGGAATATCATCTCATTCTAACTAAGAAATCTCAAATCATACATTTTAAACGATACAGCGTACCGGTCATTTGCCTTTAAGACTAAGTTTTAAGCAACATTGAGTGCTAGACGATTTGAAATGAATTTGCTTTCACTCGTAAATGCGATTAACGTATCTTTCGAAACTGTAGAATTTCCATCCTGCTTGAAACGGGCGGTTGTGATTCCTTTGCACAAGGGGGGTAATTGCGAAGATCCATCTAATTTCCGCCCTATATCGCTACTTGCCACCCTTTCGAAGGTCGTTGAGAAGCTAGTGAAATCGAGGCCGGTTCATTTTCTATCGGCATTTAATGTGATAACACCCTCTCAGTTTGGTTTTCAAGCATCTAAGAGTACGAGTGATGCAATCTTTTCGCTTCTGGAGACCCTTTACACAAGTCTGAATGGCGGAGACGTGGCTGCAGCAGTGTTTTGCGACTTTTCAAAGGCCTTTGACTGCGTAAATCGCGAAGTGCTGCTGCGGAAACTTCACCGCTGTGGTATACGGGGAAAGGCGAATCTGTGGTTCAAAACATATCTCTCCGAGAGGGTTCAGGTGGTGAAAGGTGGTGAAAGTTGGCGATGATGAGTCGGCTCCCTTGGTATGTCACTATGGTGTACCGCAGGAATCGGTGTTGGGACCTGTTCTTTTCTTGGTATATATTAATGACCTTGCGATGGTGGATATTCGGGGTAAGTTCACTCTCTTCGCGGATGACACCACTCTTCTATGGCATGCGGAAACAGGCGATAATCTCAGGGAGATGATAACTACGGATTTACCAAAAATCAAAAGTTGGTGTGATGCTAATTCTCTCAGCTTAAATATCGCTAAAACTAGTATACTTACTTTTGGTTTTAATTTTAATGACTTAATGATAAATGATCAACAAATCGAAAATGAACCAGTCACTAAGTTCTTGGGCCTTCTCATAGACAACAAACTTAAATTTGATAGACACATTTCATCATTGAGCTCTAGGCTGGCCTCTGGTTGCTTTGCTATTATTCCAACAAATTGGGTACCGCGACGGCAAGGATGATGTATTTTTCACTTTTTGAATCGCACCTTCGATACGGTATAACATTTTGGGGCTTTTGTAATCAACAATTGTTTAATTCAATATTTGTTCTGCAGAAAAAAGCAATACGATCTATGTGTCGGGTGGGAGTGAGGGAACATTGCAGACCACTGTTTATTACACAGGGGATATTGACAGTAGTGTCTTTATTTATTCTTGAAACAGTGTGTCTGATTCACAAAAAGTCGTGTTTTGAGGTCCCTGACCATTTACATAACACAAGGTTAAATGCAAACCAAAATCTACGTCTCCCTATTCCCAGAATGACACTTACAAAAAAATCCATTATATATGAAGGCCTCAAGATGTATAACCATTTGGGCACTGAATATAGACAATTGCCATACTCGCGGTTCAGGAAGAGGGTAAAGACGAGGGGTAAACCACTCTGCGCAATACTGTCACAAATCGCGCGAAATCCCTGCGCAATCATGCGAAATCGCGCGCAATCATGCGCAATCGTTGCGAAATCAGGTGAAATCGGGCGCAATCGTTGCGAAATCCCGCGCAATCCTTGCGAAATCCTGTGAAATCGCCAGCAATCCCGCGAAATCACTAAACTTTGCGAAGTCGGAGCCTCGTTCAAATGCGGAATTTCAATGCTGACCAATTAGAACTATTTAAAGAAATTGACTTTTGTAGTCATAATAATCGTTGTATAAACGATTTTATAATTATTGTGTGTCACCAGTGTCTGTATATCAGTTATTAAGTGATAATTAGCTTTTATCTACAAGCGTTTGGTTATGACGTTTTTACATAACTATTTTTCCAGTATTTGAGTTATGTTATGAGGCTCATAACATAACTAGTTGTGTTATGGACTAGGTTATGAATTCATAACACAACTAGTGGTGTTATGGTCATGGACAAGGTTATGAATTCATAACACAACTATTTTTGGTGATTTGACAAATGTCAAGGAAGGTATACAACGACTAATAAACGAAAATGATTGAAAAAAAATTCTTATTTTTTGCTTTGTAGATAAAAAGTTGTACAACACACGTGCGTTTAAACATGACTACAAAACTCGTGTGATCAGAACGACTCGGTCAACGACCTCGCTGTTCTAATCTTTCACACTCGTTATTGTAATCATGTTCATAAACGCACTTGTAATGTAAGTAACTATTAACCTTCCCAGAAATTTAGCAGGTAAGTACCTACGTACCAATTATCCTATAGGAATTATTTTATAAATATTTTGAGGTTAGTTTGAAAATCTATCTGTACCCCAATTTTTATTTTCCGGACGTAACTTGGCCTTGGCTCCGTCATTTTGAAATTTTGATTCTAAAAAAGTTTGTGTTTCAACTCAGCAGGGAACCGTTCATTTTACCGTCAGGATTCTGCGCAATACCTAAAAGGACCTCGCACATTTCTTATGGAAAAGTCTCGGGAAAAGTGATTTATGTGAAATTTTGCTGAATTTTTGATGTAATGTAGAGGGAGTTGTCCTTAACAAAAGTTATCATTGCGCTTATGTTTAATACCGATTACCGAACAGTTTTTAAGATATTAATTAAAAACTTTTTCAATACAATAGTCTTTAGTATGACGTCACCAGTATGCTCACAGCACCGAAAATTATCACTTTCCTTTCTACTTTTGTTTTGACTATATTCTTCTCCTTTTAACATTAAGAAATAAAGAAAAAAAAACAACAGGAGGTGAGTATAGTCAAAGTCAAAAGTGGAAAGAATAGTAATAATTTTCGGTGCTGTGAGCCTATGCTGTGAGCATACTGGTGATGTCATACTGAAGAGTATTACATTAAAAATGTTTTTAATTGATATCTAAAAAACTGCTCGGTATTAAACATAAGCCCAATGATAACTTTTGTTAAGGACGACTCTCTATACACAATATCAAAAATTCAGCAAAATTCCAGATAGATCACTTTTCCATAAGAAATGTGTGGGGTCCTTTGTTTGTAGATTCCGAAAGTCGTATACAGAAAGGTTTTCGTGATGGTTTTTTGACGTGTTGGAACAGACGTATTTTATGGCGTAGCGTAGATAAAAAATGGATAGCTTATTTTTTTCGATTTTTTTTTTCAATATTAATTTTTTAGAGCCATTTTTTATTTGATGTGTGATTTTTCGTTTATGTTTGATGCGAGGTTTGTTGTGTTTAATGAGTAAAATATTTTTCACAAGCGAGATACAAACTAAATAACTATAAAGGATGATTTAGGTAGCCCGTGCATTAGCTTGCAGGTGGGGTCATATTAGAGACGAGGCCGAAAAATACAATATTGTAGTTGAAGGTTTCTTTTCAGATGGGGATTCTCGTTGTTTAAAAGCTATGAAAATAATGGCAGGCCTACCCGCTTCCTCCAACGAGGAAACGCCCTACTCACCCTACTTTCAGGTAATCCTGTATGTAATATTTAGGTATAAAATTAAAATTATTTATTATTTCAGGCAAATTTTTCTACAAGTAATCCAGTGGCAATTCAAGATACTGTACATATTGGCACTAAAATCAAAAATAGATTATTGAATCCCAATATTGCTTTGAAGATGGAAAATTACGAAGTATCCAAAGATCATTTGAATCATGTTATTGATAATGTTTCAAAAGATAAACATTTATTGTGCTCTAGTGATTTGGACAGTAAGTATTACCATTATTATCAAATTATCTTGTTTCTTTGATACCTAATGCTTTCAGCATAGATAAACTAAAAAGTTAATATAGATGGATATTGAATAGAATATTATTTAGGTACCTATGTAAATACGACACCCTATCCAATTGTAATTGGAATTTTTTGCATGTAATTCAGAAAAGCTCACTTGTAGTATAGATTCTCCATATGTGATTCAGAAATCTCCATTTGTAATTATTAAGCAATTCCTAATTGTGAATCAGATAACATAAAATGTACTGTACCTACAGTTTTCTGGACTACAATAAACATAAGGATGTTCGAATATTTAGGTACATTGTTTTATGCGAGGTTTTATGAAGTTGAAACTGGTTGAAACCTAATTTTCTGAGTCTCTGTCGAGGTTGTCTAAATTACAAGGAGATTTTCTGAACTAGATGTGAAAAAACTGAATAACAAATCAAATTGTCTTGATTATCTATGGAAAATTTGAACTACATGTGAGATTTTCTGTATTACATTTGAAAATTCTAAATCACAAATTGGATTTTCTAAATTACGTTTGGAAAATCTGAATTGGAACTGTTAGTTACTGAATTATAATTGGAAAAGGTGTAGTACTGGTCTAATCAGTAGGTAGGATTAACTATTTAGATAATAACTCTGATAGTAAGCTACCAAATTCAGCTAACATTTTTCCACTAATATATCTTTGAAGCACAATAATTTACTGTAGTACATTCCTACTTTACATATTTAAACTCTGACAAACATATTTTCCAGATACGGATAAAATGAATTTTGGAGCCATCGATAAATTGTCATCAACACGTGTAACTGACTTATTATTGGCCAAAGATGAATTCAAAGCAACTCGCCAACTGCTTATACTAACCTGATATATATTGGATTCATACCTTGATAAGTCGTTATCAATAAAAGAGAGGGTTTATTCAATTTGGTATGCAACACTTTTTGTGCGACTGTGGCGGGCTTGGATTTAACAACAAAACAACCGCACATTAACAAAAAACTGTATCACTCTCAACCCCTACACTTGTGTAGAGTTAAATGCCCATCTCATCCCATTGAATCTCATTGAAAAATTTAGAATCAATCCAGAACTTGTTTTGCCATGGTTTTATAGTAGCCAGCCATGTGAGAAATTCTTTAGACAGACCCGATCAATGACGTCAACTTGGTCAACTGTTGTTAATTTCGATATGTTGGATTTGCTGAGAAGGAGACACAGAATTCAGGCTATTCATGATTCAGGTATTCAATCACAAATTAAATAGATATTAAACAAATTTCATGTTTTGAAACTTTAACAATGTCATGATCATCAATCTGTGAAATGATTTTAAAAATTAAGTATTTACCTAACACATGTCCTATCATGAGAATTTTAATCAGATTTGACAGAGGATTTGTCTTTTATCTTATTTTTCCTCATATTTCTTAAATTTTCAAACGAGATTGTTAATGTTTGAAAAAGATTTCTACCACAGCAGCATTAAGCTACTCAGTCTGAAATATTTAATTAACTCGAATTTTTTTTATAGGCGAGACATTTGTCTTCCCTCGAGAAAAAAATAAGAGACTGGGCACAAATTTAAGAAATAGGGAAACAAATATTCCAACCACTGAAGAAATTCATAAGATGATATTAAAGGCACGAGATCACGCAGTTGGTGACTGTAATTCACTTGGAATGCATTTGGTGGAAAATCAATTGGAAGCAGAATTAATGGAAGTGTCTATACCAAAATTGGATACCTTTGATAATGACCCTGAAGAAAACTATTTGACAAATAACTGTACTGTGACTGAGACTGTGGCATCAGAAGATGAACTGGATGTCTTACAAGCAAATGAAGAGGACGTAGGAGATATAGACCAAGATGCTCTAAAAGATTTAAATGAACTGAATATCAAAGATTTCAGTGGAAATAAAACTGAAAAGGACAAATATGTACTTCGCATTAAAACCAATGTCAAGGAAATGATAGTTAAAAAATCCACTTTGTGTTGGTTATTTTTCAAAAAAAAAGGCCACTTGTCTAGTGATAGATTAATGCGATGCAAAAGTATGGGCGGAAGCAAGGTCTCCAAAAGATATATAAATACGAGCTTAAACTATACAAAATCCTCGAGAAAATCTCTAAAAAAATTAGGTAAAAAAACCGAGAAAACCTTCAAGAAAACTGATGAAAAGCTGAAGATTCAAAAGAGAAGAAATGAAAACGACTCAGATTCTGAAACCTCAATAAGCGATACTTATTCTCTGCAAAGTGAATTTGAAGAAGAGAGTTTCTCTGAAAATGAAGATTGTGGTAGTCAAAGTCAAACATCCCAGCAAATATTTAAAAAAATATCTATAAATCAAGAGGAATATTATGCAGTTTGTTACCAAAGATGGTACATTGGAAGAATTCTGAAAGTGATTGACCATGAAAGAAGGAAAGAAGCGAAATAAAATTTCTAAAATCGGATTTAGATGAATATACTTGGCCCAGGGAGGAAGACAAACAAATTGTGAACAACAAATTTATATTTTATGGTCCAATTCCATTATTAGGAAATGGGCCAGCTGAAACGTAGCGATAAATTGAAAATTGAACAACTTTTCAAAATTATCAAGAAAAAAATTGAAAAAATATTTGTGATTTGGTTTCAATGAAATTTCTTACGTTTTCTTTTTTGTACATAGAGTGTTTTCTCTTGATATAGGTATAATATTCACTGAAAGAAGTACCAAATAAAATACTTCAAATTAGGAGAAATTCCGCGCAATCCCGCGCAGTCACGCGAAATCCTGCGCAGTCACGCGAAATCCTGCGCAGTCTCGCGAAATCCTAGGCAAATTCGAGAAATCCCGCGAAATCTTATACAATTCTGCGAAATCCCGTGCAATCATCACGAAATTTTGCGAAATCCCTAATTTTGCGCAATACTGTCACATTTTCACCCTAGTGGTTTACCCCTCAGGTAAAGAGTGTATTGATGGCAAGGTCTTATTACAGCCTGGAGGAGTATTAGGATGATTGTTTGTAGCGAGGTTTGCAGCTATTGATTTTCTCAAGTACTTTCATTTTAGTGTTCTGTTTTTAGTTATAATAATTGTATCTATTCTTACGGCTGTTTGTTATTTTAATTTTTGACATTTTAATATTGTATTTATTATTTTGTTATTGTACTGTTATTACTCTTACGGTTGTTTGTGAATTTAAATTTTGACATTTTATTATTGTGTTTATTGTATTTTTCTTATTATTGTATTTTTCTGCTTTGTAGACAAGCATATTTTGATTTGATTTGATCACAACAAGTTTCCCAATAACTAAGCCAATAACTGAACCCGAGACTACGAAGAATTTAGAACTTGAAAAAGAAAAACGAGATGAAGATTGTAGATCATAAAAATGAAAAGATGAATCTTGAAACCTCTATCGAATCCGACTTGCCAAAAGAAGGCACAGAATTTCTTCACACATCAGAGAGTATCAAGAGCTATGGGAATGCCCCTGGGAAAGACACAAAAGAAAATGTCGCGAGTCCAAGGCAATAAGAACTTGAAAAGGGAAAGTATTATTTTGGATCCATATTATGCAGTGTAGATATGCAATGGTATCTAAGGCTCAACAACTATTTATACCTACAGTAAAATCGATGTGGCTGTGGACAACCATGAAAATAATAGTTGCTAACTTTTGGAAGAGTTGCAAATACAAAAGTTGCCTATTTTTCATTGGAAACGTGTTTTTATAAGAGAAAAGACTGTTAATTTTGGTCATATCAATGCAAAGCTTAACAATTAGACATCGTTTTCGTAATAAAATCAGCTGGAAATCGAATGATTATAGGAAATCATCGAAGAAATCAGGTAATCAATTGAAAATGGTAGAGGAATCCCCAGAAAAAATAAAAATCATTTGCAATCAGTCGCAATTCTTAGGATGGGAATACATGAGATTCATTGATCAGTGATTGCCAAATATGGAAATCATTCTAAATACATTTGTAAGCATAGTGGTTGACCCCTTGGATACAAGATATGCTGGGTTGCTTATACAGTACTATGTACCATGAAATTGTTTGTTAAGCACATTGGCCAAGAAACAGTTATCAACAATTTAAGACAAAAATTCTGCATAATATGTGGTATAGTCAATAGTGTTAAAAATGCTATCCATAAATGTCAATTCTGTAAGGTAAAGAAACCTTAATATTTTATGCCATTTACAAAATTATTGCAGACATTTAGTTATTGTGGATTAGATTATTTTGGACCATTACAAGTAAAAGTAAAAAGAAGTACAGAAAACAGATATGGAGTGTTATTCACATGTTTGAATTCAAGAGCTGTTTATATTAAAATAGCAGTTTCATTTCATTAGGCACAGATTCAACACTGTTGACATTAAGAAAATCATTGCAAGACATGGAAAACCCGAGAGAAAACACCTAGAGATTTACTCAGACAATGGGACAAACCGAGGGACAAACTTTATTGGAGCTGAAAGAGAATTGAGAAAATATTTGGATGAAATTGATGAAAATAAAATAATGAGAGAAATGCTATTTTTAAATGATGGCATTTTAATCCACCAGGCGCTCCTAGTACGGGTGGAGTTTGGAAAGAATGGTGAGTTCTGTAAAACAAGTCCTATACTGTATATTAAATGAGTAAAGCCCATCTGAAGAACTCTCAGAACTCCTTAACCCATAAGCTATGTTTCATCTCATGAAGAAGACTTGAGCTCCTATGCATTTTTTAATTGGAACAGCTGATATGGACAAGATGCCATGTTTGGAAGAAAACAATGGAAAACTGCACAAATTAGGGCAGACAATGTTTGGAAAAAATAGACAACAATTTACTGACTTTGACAGAAGAACAAAAATGGCATGCCTCGTGGCATACTAATAAGTGTACACCTCCAAGAGTGGATGATATTGTAGCTCTATGAAGACTGCTCTCCACTTCAGCTTTAGTCAATAACATATATTATGGAAACACTCACTGGGATTCTCTCAACATATGTATAGTAAAGTCAAAGCACTGTGGCTGGTACCTATAGGTATCCTATTCACAATCCGTAGTCCAAAGGTAAAGATAAATTTATCACTTTTCTCCCTATCAAATAGCACTGAAAGGTGATAAATTTTACCTTTACCTTTGGACATCGGATTGTGAATAGAAAATATTTATTGTATCTGTGCGAGTATCTGTGGTATGTACCTATCCTCTCATGGAATTTAATCTAATACCGGCTAAGCTAAATCGACTTGACTAGATTTGTTTTTTTATAGCTTAATATTGCAATCCCAATCCCTAAATGTCTTCACTTATTTCAAGTAGCTTAGGCTAAGTAGCTCTCACAATTATTGAGTTAATAGGTCTGTTTCTGCAGAAATCACAGACCAGTCAGAGTGAATTTCATTGGTTGAAACTAGTTTTCTGACTGTTTCTGACTGTTTTCAACCAATGAAATTCGTTCTGACTGGTTTGTGATTTCTGCAGAAACAGACCTATTATATCACACCAGAAAACGTATTTCTTATCTAATTATGTAGGTATGGTATAAAGTGATTTTAGTTCAACTTTTTTTTCGTGCCATCCTCATTTTTTCTTTGAAGAGCTTCGTGATTAATAAATTGTCATTTGCACACCTGTAAATTTTATAGTTTTGAATGCTGTGGTTTTGAGCTCTATGCTTTTGAGATAAGCGGCATTAGCGGCATTGTTTATGTTTCAAAGTTGACAATGCCAAAATCTATCTTGGGAAAAAATAAACCATAGATACTTCAAGTGCGACAGGTCCCATTCTTAATTTAAAACCGCGTTCAAAACTGCCTCAATTTATAGCAAATCAAACCATTCTTTTAACTTTTTGAAGAAAATTTTTATAAAAAAGTACTACTTTCCTACTTATCAAGCTATCAAACAAATTGATGTGGGTAACTAAAAATAAAATAACCACATGGAAATATGTAATAGTAAAATATCCAAACATAATACAATATGTAATATGAATAAAATCAAACTGCAAACTGCAAAATATTTATGAATTGTAAAATATTACTACAATACAAACTCAGAAACTCACCATCAACTTCCCACATAAAATTTCAAAAAATTGTCACGCCACTCACACACGCTGTCATTTAAAATACCACGGACTATCAGTTCATTTTATAATTATTTCATGTATAGTTTGAATAATCTTATCAAATAATTCTTAAATATTTATTTAAACAATATTCATTATCAATAATTAATTATCCTCCTACGGAATAACAAATATGTGAAACGTCACATTTGAACACGCCCATTTTGGACCATCATGCCACTATGCGACGTTGTCGATAGTTCAAGACCAAGAAAAAATCGAATTCTAATTTCTAGTTCATGAATTGACCCAAGCTGAGACTCGGGATTCGGCACTTGTTGCTCGTTTCGTTTGGAATTAAAAAAGGAATCTTGAAATACGCTTATGTTCTGGGCCGGTATTCTCGTTCCCGAAAACGCTCACCACTTTCTTTTAAGTCGCTCGGCACTTTTAATGTAAATTTACATTAGAAGTGCCCCGAACGACTAAAAAGCGATGAGCGTTTTCGCAAGAACGAGAATACCGGCCCTGTTTCCATTTTTAGAATTAATCTGATACAAGGCTCTTTACGCTTTCAAACACATTCCAGTTAGATTGTAGAAGCTCGCTGACACTGACGAAATTTGAACTGAACATTCCAAAGATTGCGTATTTGGATCACATCATTTAGCGAAAAAAGTATGACCAGAATGCTACTCCTACCCTGCTTTCAGAATAGTAGCCCCATCTGCTTGGAGCAGATTAAGCCAAAACAGTTGAAAACCCCTAATCCCAAATAACAGACAGAAACCCCAAGGTCCTTTTTACGTGGTTCTGGTTCAAACTAACCGGGTTACAAAACGGTTAGTAGCGGTATGTCATGTGATGACGTCATTAAAAATGCCACTTGAGAACGAACGGTTAGAAAAATGTTATTTTAAATTAGGAATTTTAATGACCTATCAATATTTATAATACGTTGATGTAGCCTCTAGTAACTGCGCCAAAATTTCATGTATTTCTTGAATAAAATGTCCTTAATAAATATTTTAACTTCAATAATCAATTGCTTCCATGTTCGTCAACTGATTAGGTAGCTAGAAACTTTAAAATATTATTGACAAAACACACAATTTTTTATTCAAGTTTACACCTCACAATTTTCCCGCTCTCCGTTGTTCACAAATTTTCTATTTTTTTTATTCTAACCGTAAAACGTAACCATATCGCCGAGCTGGTAAGAGAAATAACATACCGTTTCCTAACCCGATTACAAAGTGACGTCATCGATATCACTCGAATTTAAGCGATATGCTGCGGTTTGTTGAACCGGAGCCACGTGAAAAGGGCTAGAGGCTCCATTTACTGTCCGTGCGTTCGTTATTTTGGTCTGAGTTCTCCGAGCTTGACTTTACCGTTCGTTTATTCAAAAAGTGTACTCGGTGTATCCTCATTCGCGTTCGTTTATTAAAATTTCTGGCACTTTTATACAGCGTTCAACTGCTCTGTTCGCTCGCTGGTCACGTGGTTACGGCTCCGCTCTGCACGCTCTGCTCTTCGAGCAAAATACCGAACGCAAGGATAATTCCTTTTAAATATCGAGTTACACCGAACGAGCTCCTCGGAGTCACTCCAAAACACACAATTCAGATTTTATCATTATTTTTTATTAACATTACCGTCATTACCTATAAGGGCTTCTTGCACCCCCCGCAAATTTGGTGCATCAGGCGAAGGGGGGATACACTATGAGCGACTCGAGTGCTTAACGCACTTTTAAAAGGAACGTTCAAGCTTTTAACATTGAGCAGCTCCGAGTCACTTAACGGGTAAAAGGAATACAGTAATTCACAGGCCACAGCCGCTTTCCAGTATCGGAGTGTGAAGCTCGGAGCTACTCGGAGCTACTCGGAGCGTTAAGCTCCCGAGCTATGATACTGGAACGGTACAAATCTAGTGCCTGGCGGTCCTGGGTGCTCTAGAGCGCGCCAATATGCATACGAAAGCTGCTCACGATAGACGACCGGGTCCTTATTCTCGAAACAGGAGAGCAGCGCTCTCATGAACGAAGGTTCTGTCTTCTTTGGCCATATTTATAGTTCCATAACACTGACAAAGACAGAACAATCGTTCTCATGAGAACGCTGTTTCCCAGTTTCGAGAATAGACGCACCGGACGCACTCCGGATAAGTCGTTCACGAATCGGGATGCTTCCACCCGGTAAAATTACACTTATTCACAATCAGCTAGGTAAAATTTGCTCGACATGCGCTATAGTTTCATGGTGTTTTTTTAAAAATTCTGTGACCATCACAACGGATAGCCTATCCGCATAAGGCCTGTGTAGAACAAATCTGAAGCCAACATGTCGTTTCTCGCCTTGACGTAGGCTGTTTGATTCCAGGTTATGATTCCACGGGCTTTCGCTTTATGCATACTTGGTTTTAATTTTAATACATTAATTAACATTCTAAAACAACTTTTTTTAAATCTAGTTTTCATCTTCCTCTGTGCCTATTTTGTTAATCAATATTATAGATTATACCACGAGCTATTATTGCAGAGGAATATTTGAACTTAGCCGCGTTAGCGGCGAGGGAGTAACATTCTTAAAACCAAGTATTAAAGCCTAGTTATCATGGACCGAAAAATTCATTACGGACTCGGAATTTTTAAAAAAAATTCCGCAGCGGGGAAATGTCAACTTTTTGCGAGTTTTTATCGTCTGTCACTTTTTAATGTCACTTGTTTGAGATGTATATGGTACATTAGATAAAAATCACTAAAACATAATGTGAAATACCCTAAATATAACTAGAAATCCGCTTCCGGAATCTCGCTTCATGATGGGAACTGGCAAAAATTACTTCTTGTAGGTACGGAAAGCGATATTCTGCACCCGCAACGCAATTTTCCGCTCTCTCCATGAGAACTAAGCTTAAAGCAAAAGCCCGCGGAATCATTACCTGTGGTGCAAACACCCTACGTAAAGGCGAGAAACGACTCGCTGTCTACGTCATCACTGGCTCTTTGGCGTGGCGGGGGGCTTGAGATTTGATCTACGCAGGCCTTATGAGGATTAGCTATCTTGTAGTAGTAGTGTATATTATCCTTGCGGGTCCCGAGTTCGAATCCCGGCTAGCGCATGGTTGTTTGTGGTGTTTAACCGGCTTGTTGGCTTGGCGAGAGAGGATGTGGAAGATCTCTGTAGAAGACTGTAGACTTAGCCCCCCCAAACTAAAGCTGGATTTATAGTGTCAGTATCAGTAACAGTAACAGTAACAGTAAAACTTAAAACTTAAGAACAGATATGAAAATAACCATTTCTTAAGTTTTACTGTTAAGTTTGTTAAGTGAATTATAAATGGCTTTACGGCAGGCCGTGTTTTAATATTTTACTGTTACTGCTACTGTTACTGATACTGACACTATAAATCCAGCTTTACACTTTTGACTTTTTTCACTCTCAATCTCACTCGCAATTATTAGTTTTACCCCCTTAACCAGTGGCGGCTCTTCCTTAGGTTTGCAGGTTTGCGCAACCCCCAAAACAAAACTTAAAAAATATAAAACAAAAATACTAGAACTAAATTTTAGTACCTAATTATATTTAAAAAATAAATTATACCAAAATTTGGGACCTACATAATACGCAGTCGATTAATAAAATAATTTGACCAACTTCGCCAAAATATCAATAACTGACAGGCCGCCGGCGACTTCGAGTAGCGGCGTCGAGTCGCTGGATTGCAGCTCCAAAGCAAACCGATCTATTATATGACGGCGCACATTTGGTGGCCTGTCTTTGCGTGGATTCGAAATCCGCTCCATAAGCTCCAGCAGGTTGCAAGCTAAGTGCAAACTTTGTTTATTTTGGTTTGTTTTGTGAAGTTTTGTCGTGTGGGGGGTGAAAAAAAAAAAAAAAATCTGTTCAAAATTTAATTGCCGAGCCATTCTGTGGGCGTTCATCAACCGATAAGGCTGAAATAAAAAGACTTGGAAGGCCTACTCCAAATTTAAAAATTGAACAAACTGTAACTAGCAAAAAAAGGACTTTCACCATGACATTTAGGTATTCTGGACCTTCACGAAAAACATGCATGATTGTAAAATTGAAATTGCAACCCCCACATTTTTAATATACGAGCCGCCACTGCCCTTAACCAACCCTTAAAGTAGTTTGCAAGTCAAGTGAGGTTACCTAAAGGGTGTATTGGTCCTGCATATAGCTTCCAATAACATTTGTACCCGAGACTAGGGTGGAAATATCCATATTTCCACAAAAACCCTAATTTTGATAAATCGCAATTATAAGTTTTACCCCCTTAAACCACCCTCAAAGTAATTTGCAAGTCAAGTGATGTTCTTTAAACGGTGTATATTGGTCCTGCCTATAACTTCTCACACACCACAAAATCTCAACCAGTAGAGGACTACAATCCCTAAAAATTTCAGCTCATTTAGATAAAGGTTCTGAGAAAAAATCGCGTTTTTTTTAAATTTTTTGTAGGTATGCGTAAGGAAACCCGCAGGTAAAGGCTCTCCCAAACCAACGCGGAAAATTCGCAACACCTACGAATATTCGCACCGCAGACGATTCGCAACAAATTGTTTTCACTGCGGTAAATACACAAGTTCAAACTGGCGCGGTTTTCTCCGGTTTGGCTGCGATTTATCTGCGTTTTTATCCGCACGGAAACTCAGTTCGCAATCCAATGCGTTTTTGGTCCGATTTTCAGTAATTCCGCAACGTTAGAAAGTGAAAAATAATCAAAATGGAACAAATTATTGAATTAGTTCGAAAGTACCCTATACTATATGACCTTTCTCATGAAGACTATAAAAATGTGCGCAAAATAAATAGGGTTTGGGCTAAACTAGGAGAAGAACTAGGCTTCCACTGCAAGGAACTATATTGCTTCTTCTTCATCCGATGATGTATACATTTTTCAGGCAAGGAAACAATTTGTCATTCTTTTCTAGCACCAACACTAGCATTCAGCAAGCAAATTGGATACTGAAAATATGACGTAAATGATGCGATTATGTTCGCTAGGGTGTGAGATTCTCTCCGGAATCCGCCATGAAATTCGCTGCGGATTCTTCGTCACGAATTCGCTGCGAATAATTCGCGTTGGTTTGGGAGAGCCTTAATGGGCGAGAGCAAAATTTTGGATATTTTCGTGTGGATCTTCATTCGTAGGTCGATCGAGTGTACACCACTGGTATTACCCTGTTTC